CTACATAGGTTTCATCTATGAGGAAATTAAAAAATCCTTCTAACGCTAAACTGTTTACAGTATTCTTTAAAACTATTACCTTTAAAACGTAATTTAATTTAAGACTGTACTACTTTATTCCCGCCTCCATTACCATATACTACGTCTATTTATTGCATGCTGAATTTCTGTTTTAATTAATACAGAAAAAGTGATCGTATGGTCTTACCGTAAAATAAAGTAATGTATGTAAAGATTCTATTATACAACATATGGCTTATTAATGCTAGAGTGCAGACTCCAGATCAATCAGTAGCGAACAAAATGCACAGCTGTCCAAAACACACTCCTTTAAGATAGGGTTATACCATAATTGCCACCGTTGCAGGCTGGTAAGTGTTCGTAGTTCCAGGTCACAACTGGGATTGTATGAATTTTTATTTAATATATCTTACAGGAATAATTATTGAAAATATTTTTTACCGCAGATCAGGAAAACACCTTCTCCAAGGAAAAACCAACAACTCAGCGGGACTTTTCTTAAACATTAATTTACAGATACTATAAGTTCATACTGCGTAGATCGGATTTAAAATTAATTTACAACTGAATATTTTACAAGACTAAGTATAAAAACATTTAGAAACATATTAATACCATGCATTTATTTCTTTAAATTACATAATATACATTAATTGATTTCTTTAAATGGACCTCCAAGAGACTCCCTGACTGGTTTTGCTGTTGCCCATAACGTGCGTTTAAACTGTTGGTAGGATGGTATTATCGTTCAAGGTCTGTCGGATAGTAGGAAAAGGACATAGAAACTATTTCCCTGAAAGATTAAAGGAGTCGGTGGCTGCTTGGGATTGCGTAGGTACATGTGGTATCATCAATTATTTGGCAAGTGGTTGGAATAATCCATACAGAAGTTTTGACATAACACGATACAAATATTTGTAAGGACTAACATTCTTATTGTCAACCGACTTATAAAAACGAGGAGGTTCTCGATTCGTCGGAATATTTTTTATATATGTTCACCGATTAATCAAAAACGCCTGAAAGGATTCGGAAAATTCTTTTTTTTGTTTCAAAGGGTATACTTTCCTTTAAATGGGACCAAATTTAAATTTTATCGAAACCGATCGAGCGGTTTAAAAAAATCAACAATAAATTATTTATATTAAAGTCGGTTGTACAATTTTTTTTATTTTATCACCTTGATCTTATACCAACTTTCGGCAATGATATAAATAAATATATCCTCCGCAGTTGTCAACTGTAGGTTGTTGACCGCAAGGTAATGGTGTAAACAAAACTGACCTCCTACGATACAACATAAAACCTCTCAAAGTTTGTATAGCTTTTTATAAACATTACAGTTACTTATTTTATTGATTTTTGTTATTTAATTGATTATTGGAGTTTACTGTTGTGACCATGGGAACTACAAAACAGTGGAGACGACAGAAATTTAAAATAAGTTAAATAAACGCAAAAAAAAAAACTCGCAAAAGATGTTATTATTGAATATAACTTATTTTATTTGCTACAAGAAATGTATTTCAGGCCCGTTCCGGGGACGTCGCCGGGGTAGGAACTATTAGTTTGACATTATTTTCATTTAAGATAATCGTCAAAGACCATTTATTTTATCAATTTTTCGACTTCTTAAAAAATATCTCCAAGTATTTCTGATAAAATAAAACCTAGATCACTCGTGTTCCTCAAGTTTTATTCCAATCCGTTCAGCCATTACAAAGATTAACCTGGACAGACAGGCAATTCTTTTTTAATGGCTATTAATGCCCTTATAACATGCGAATAACCCTCTTATGGACGACACACACGGTCAGTTCAACTGATCATTCCAATCGAATAATAAACTTATTACCAAATCGATTATTACTAAGTCGATAAATAAACTTATATATAAAACTCCGATATTGATATATTTATAATTATCGATATATCGAAAATCTGACGTTTTAAAAAATATCAACGGTTCTAGTTTGAACTGATCCGTTGGAATGATCAATAAAATGCATTTATTTTGGTATAAGAAAGAGACACTTTAATTTTATTTAAATGTATAGGTATAGGTAGGATAGTGTCATAGACTAATCAAAACAGAAGACAATCAACCGTATTAAAACCTTGTAAATATACTTTAAACAACAAGGCAAAAGTACGAGCGACATGCGTCCTAAATAACGATGGCCAACGTCATGCCTATGTTAATACTTGGGCAGAACTCATCGAAAGTAACCGATGCATATAATTTGCGATGAGTCTCGCTTATGGCCTAGATACCTGTGTTGTTCCTAGGCCGTACGATTATGATAACCCTGTTTACAGCTATTCGATTGATGTGCTCACATGAATTACGCCTCGTTTACTGAATAAATGGTAATTAATTATGAGTTTAGTCTCTGTGATTACATCATATAGATAAAATAAGTAGGATTCTGCAATATTTTGATTTTTCTAGTGTTTGTTAGTGATAGGTAAGGGATAAACGTTTCTTAAGATTTTATAGTACGGGGCTATACTTTTAAAACCGTAAATTTTCTTCAAGATTAACTTTTGATATTATAGTAGATAAATAAAATGCAGCCTTTTGTTTCTAATGATGTCTTTTATAAACTGCAAAAAAGTGGTCAGAGAAGCGAATCAAGCATTATTTTCTCCAAAAAAAATCTGATGATAATTACAATAAATTATTTAACTTAATTTTATTTTATTTAAAAAACGAATCGTAGGTAAAAATAGAGAATATTTTTTTGTAAACAGTATTAAGTGAAATATCAGTCTACAAATACCAATCCAGTGTATCACTACCTTTATATAAAAGTAAACACCACAACTTACTACTATACTTATAGATTAGTAAGTAGATCGCGTTGATTGTCTGCAGAGGTTGTGAAGTCTGTGCAACAGAAAGTTAAAAATAAAACAATTACAGTTCTAACATGGTTAAGCGAAAATACAAACAACCTCTACATCTATATACAATAAAACTGAAATATATGTCCGTTATATCGAGATAACTGCCTTTTATTGGGAGCACGGGGTTATTGCATACTATTACCGAATAACCGTTTTAAAATTTTGCTCTGTTTATTTTGAATACGTTAGGGTGACAAACTAACACACATTCCACCTGATGGTAAGTGGTTGCTATGGCCCGTAAACATCTACATCTATCCTTAAATACGAATAAAAATGCAGATGCGTGGTCACCCGTGAGGACCAAGATGGAGTGCCTCCTTTCCAGCAAAAAGGGTCTCCGGTTCTCTACACCTACCATACGAAACATAGCAGCGTTAAGCTGCTATTTTACGCTGGTATTCTGTGAGAGCGTGGTCCTTCTCCGGTCGAGCCGACCCATTCGTTGTACAACCATACTACTAATATAGCTGCAGCATGGCTCTACCACGTAGGTATAACTATGTATGTCTGTTTGTTTGTCCGAGCGAATGGCTGCATTAGTTGTAAGGAAACTTCAAAGACAAATGGAGAGCAATACTAGGAGTGTTCTAGGCTTTTTATCTAATAAATTGTAATAAAAAATAAAATATAAATTTCTTTGCAACTTTCCGCTAAACACATAAAATGATGTGTCTTACCTGGATTGAAGCGCACCTCCCGCCCTCCCTCAATTGCATACACTAACTCCGTCACCACTAGACCAAGCACCACTACTCTCAACACCACTATTCCAGGCAAGACACACCATCGACGATAATACGACACGTGTTTCGCCTCTACACGAGGCATCCTCAGGTAATATAGACTCTACGGCGGCTGACCTGCCTGGGTGACGGAGTTAGTGTATGCAATTGAGGGAGGGCGGGAGGTGCGCTTCAATCCAGGTAAGACACATCATTTTATGTGTTTAGCGGAAAGTTGCAAAGAAATTTATATTTTTATTTTTTATTATAATGGATTTCCGCAAAGTAACGCCTGATTCTATCAATTATAATAAATTGTAGATATTTTTTCTAAATTAAAACGAAATATCGATAAAATAAAATTATTAGATCCTATCCAGACAAAGCTCGGGCGAGTCACTCGTTAATAATATAAACATAAACGGGAAATTCTAACATCCTAAGGGGGTCACACTATGATGCGAAACACTGCACCAGATAATTTAACTGTAATTTACTTTGCAGCTTCCGAGCAATTCAGTACCGCAATAATAGTTCGCAATTCATATGACCAGAGATACTGCAATTGTTTGCAGTGTCTCTGGTCATCTCTTTGTTATCACCGTACAGTGCATGGTATCTTCACTGGCGTAATCAGAATAAGCTATTAACCACACAAAACGATTAGGTCGCGCCATTAACTTTCAATCCAACGATTCTATTTCCAGCTATTTTAACAGACGTTAGTTAAAACATTCTCTCCCAACGACTCGTTATCTGTGTTAACGTGGATATTAACTATTGGGTCGTTACGGAATAGGGTAGCCATAACTACCTTCGACACACTGGACACACCTTGGTTCCACAAACCTTTTCCGCAAAATTCTTTATTAAATAATTTCTACGTATTCTTTATTAAATAATACAATAATTATGAACGTGAACTATTTCACTAACTTACGAGTAGAAAATAGATAATGTGTGCGTACTCAAATATTGGTTTAGGCTACTAATGTAGTGATCTGAAGTATTATAACACTCATAAGTAGTAGAACTCATCATCATCATCATCTCATCATTACAGTCAATCACAAGTCCACAGTCTAACATAAGCCTCCTTTAAGAAACGCTACACACGATATTTAGCCACCAGCACATACATCCTTTGACTTCCTGCAACTCTTACCAGGACGTCACTTCATCTAGACCCGCATGCCAAGCATGGCAACTATGGCAAACATGAGCAACAACACACTACTCATTAGTCAGAAAATTAAAAAAACTTTAATAAAATGGCAAGAATCATAGAACAAAGTAGATTAAATAGTTTCGACATCTGGTATGTCGTCTTCAGAAGTCGGTGCTATGCATAATGTGAGAAGCTGATGTGTAAAAATTATATTGTTCTATTTAGTTATTTGAAGTTTGCATTTACTTATTACTAAAAGTTTAATTTTTGAGCCTTTTAAGTGAACTACGAAATACCCTAAGCTCAAGGTGACAACTGGAATATCGTCTAAATAATAACATTAAAAGCTTTATCCCATTTTTCCCACTCCTAGGGCCGAATTTCCTTTTTAATAGTTATATTTACTTATTTAAAAAAATTGACATAAGGTGTACTATTGGCGGACTTAATGTCTTTCAATATTCTCTACCCGACATTCTCATATTCTAAACTGATATTGGACTACCAGTATAGTAAAACCTATTAATTAAAGAAGAATAATTAAAATTGATTCACAATTGACTAAAGATATCATACATACAAAAAAGAACATCATGCAGTCGAATCGAGAACCTCCATATTTTTTGAATCTAATCAAAATGATGTTTGGTAAACGAAAGTTTGAACGATTGATAAAGAGATTCATTTCATTTTATCCCTACTCTATTTTAATATCAAAGAGTTAGAATAAAATACTAATACTCTAATTCCTATTTGCTACTAAATCGAAATAAATTTAACTAACAGCCTCCATTGTTGCAGACTGTCGCGGAGCAGCGTCCGGCGGCGCCCCCTGAGATGCAGGCGCGGCACAGCCTCTGGTGGCATCTCTCCATTGACTTGCCTATTCTACTTCTAGGTAGGATAAAACATTATTTAGTATAATCATATGTATAGCGTCTCGCCCCGACTTTGCACGGGTGCGAATAATCAGTGAGTGTTAGGTACCTTTTACGACTTGTTTGTGAGCAATACATCTATTAATAGTAGAGCTGGGCCGATTAATACTTTGGCCGATTGGCCGATTAGCCGATTAATCGGTTAAGAAATGGCCAATTAATCGGCCGATTGATCGGCCCAGACGATCCCTATCCGATGATAAATTCAAATGGTGGAACAAAAATTCTTCCAGATATCCAGAAATGTCCCGTTTAGCCAAAGTTTTCCTTTGCTTCATCGCCAGCTCTGGTGAGATACTTTTTTCTGAGGCAGGGAATATCTAGTATCTACGAAACAAAAAGAAATCGACTTCAACCAGAAAAGGCTGAGATTTTGTCCTTTTTGCATCACAATTTGCCACTGGTTAAAAATAACAAATAAATTAAATACTTTCTAAAAAGCCTTCAATACTTTTTCAAATTAGGTATTTCTTTTTAACAAATTATTAGATGATTATAGATTCTTTATTTAATAACATTACAGGAAAAAAACAATTTATTGTAATTTTAAGTACAGAAAAATAACAATTTGATTAAATTTTTAGTACAAAAACAGTAACAATTTAGTTTTAAGTACAGAAACAAGTATGTTCTATTTGTCTTTTAAAAATCTATATGCGTGTAGTTTAACAAACTTTATTCAAGAAATAAGGTTTTTTTGTTATGCAAAGAGAGAGAGTTAAAATTTGTTTTCTATAAAGTGTATTAAGAATAATATTATTAATATTCTATTTTGTTGTGTCACTACTCTGCATTACGATTAGAAAAAGTTAAAAAGTAGAATTAAAATAGTAGGTACTAGTAATTTAGTTTTAAACAGCTACCTCAGATTCTTTTTTTTTTAACCAAAGCTCCTATGTCCAGAATAATTAACATTAAAACATGTGATGGATGAATAATTAACATTAAAACGGATGATACATAACTTTTATTGAAACTGTTTTTTCAATAAAAGTATATATTAAGTATGTATGAACCTACTTATTTTATTATTTATCTAATTTACCTACAATTGCAATTATACTTTTCTTAAATTTAAAGCTTCACTCATATCAATGTAGCCGCAGTTACCACGCAGAAAATCACGAAAATTTTTTGCTGAAATTAATAAAATAAAAAGCCGATTAATCGGCCGTTTTAGCCGACTAATCGGTGACTACAAATAGGCCAATTAATCGGCTTCACCGATTAGTCGGCGGCTAATCGGCCCAACTCTAATTAATAGTTCCTCGGGCAGGAATCGAATCTGCAGCCCGTAGCATCGCCGCCAAATATTTAGTCAGTGTGCTACTGGCCGTGAAACATTTATGAAAGAAAAGCCAAATCAGTATATCACGTGGTTTTTAAACAAATGTCAATAGGTCGCCGTCGAATATAAAGAATTCCGTCGAATCCAAACTTGTCTTACATTGAATACCGATTTAGAGATAATTTCGAATAAGACGGCTCCATGGCGTAGTGCGGCTTAGCTGCGGCGCTGGGTGTTGCGGGTTCGAATCCCGCACGGAACAAGTAACTGTATGGCTTACAAATAATTATTGTTCTGAATGTTTCTCCACGATAGGGGAGAAAATCATAGTGTGGAGGAAACGTTTAAAAAAAATTCGAATGTTAAAACTCAAACGTCAAAATTTGTGTAAATCGTATAGCCTAGACTAAAATTATCCCGTATATATATAAGACTCAAATTTGAGAATAGCGAGTTCGAGCTTAAACTCGATTACTGAATGAATACCGCTCTAAATTTTTCCAATGCCTACGTCTAAAAACTCCATACACCGCCATTCAAAAACAATTAAAGACTATAGTTACCCACTGCATCGAGCTCGACATAAAACTCTCAGCGGACAGTGTAAACTTTGAATAACGAGCGCCCCACAAACACCGTTCTGCAGGTAACGTTGCATCACGTCTATGCAAAAAATAAACAAAACATAACTGTTATATTTAATGTAGTTGCCGTATAGAAGTGGTGCATTAGAGATTTATTACTATGAAAGCGGAATTAAGCAAGTGTTAGAAACATTAAAAAGTTATAGCATGGGAAACTTTGAATAAGTGTTGTAAAAACTAACTGCAGCATTAACATGGGTTATATCGACAGGTGCAATTACCATTTTAGGTTCAGCCATTTGGCTAGCGATTTTTTTTAAATAGAATAAAGACAAACCTGCAAGCACAGTCCTCCTGATGGCATGTGGATGCTAGACATCTGTGTCATAATGCAGATAGATGCGTTGTTGCCCCTGAGGACTAAAATGGATTGCCTCGTTTCCAGTAAAAAGGTCTTTTTTAAATCCTATAGGTTCATTTAGCTTTACAGCAAAAGAAAGTTTATTCATTCTATTCACGCCTTAAACATGAAACTGAAGGTGCTTGCGGCGTGAAAATCAATACGAAGAAGGGGAATGCATTATAGGGGAAGAAAATGAACTAGTTAATACAGTCGATTTTCCCTCGAAGGGATTGTGAGGGCTAAGTTATAAAAACGAATGCTAAAAGATTTCAAATCTTTCCTCGATATTTACAATAATATTTACTAGATTCAAGTTTCTATTGTATTGTAGTCGATATTTCCGAATAGATTTTCCACCATGGAATTTTAAGGACTGAAAATATTAAATTAATAGAGTACACCATTTCCCGGTAAAGTTAAAATTTGGCTTATACATTGACATAATTCCCTTACACCCCATAAATTTCTGAATCACATCAAACCTACTTTCCCAGCGTAAGGACTTCAAGCACTTACTAATTAGCTCGTAACCGCAAAATTTACGAAAATTATGAAATAAATTATAAAATTATATTTTTTATTATTTACCCTTTAACCTTATACAAGGGTGACAAACGAGCACACAGTCCACCTGATGTTAAATGGATGCTGTGGCCCATTGACATTTACATTTATCTTCAAATAAAAATCAAAATGAAGATGCGTTACCAGCCCTGAGGACTAAGATGGAACGCCTCGTTTCCAGTAAAAAGTGTCTCCGGTTCGCTACACTCACCATAAGAAACATAGCAGCATTAAGCTGCTATTTTACGTTGGTATTCTGTGAGAGCGTGGTTCTACCCCGGTCGAGCCGAGCTATTCGTGCTGCAAACACAATATAGCTGGAGCATGGCCACAATATTCGACTATACCACATATTACAACTTAAGGCTCTTCAAAACAAAATTTAATAGGAAATAAGCTCATATCACGCTCTTCCACGTTGGATAGGTATTAAAAAGTAACACTAGACTAAAATTACACTAAAAATTGATTATAGCATCAGTAGGCCCGTAGACACGCAATACTTCCTTTACTTTTCTTTGGATAATCGTAAGTACATGGACATTGTTTGCTTGATAATGAACTACACTAATACAATGCCCAGTAGGTAAATGTTTAGTGCATCTGCCTTAGAAAGTTACACATAATTTCTGTTTACTAGTGGTCGTACTTAACAGCACAAAAATTCTTAACCTTTTAGCTGTCCCGTGTTCTACATATAGGTCAACGCTGTTGTCTTACTATTACGAGTATGTCTGAAAATCGGGCAGCGAAAGTTTTAATATAGCTGTAATCGGTAATCGCTTTTTGAAATTTATTTGCTTTTCTAATTGTGTAGAGCCTATCGAATAGTACACGAGATCGAGTGCTCGAAGGAATACAGTCGGTGATTGTACTTAATATTTATATGATTTACTATTAGTTTGTAAAAATCGTAAGGCGTAAGGGTTGCCACAAAATTGTTAAAAGACTTTTTTTATATAGCATTGGGTGATAAACGAGCACACAGTCCACCTGATGATAAGTGGATGCTGTGGCCCATAGACGTCCACATTTATCCTCAATTAAGAATCAAAATGCAAATGCGTTGTGACCCCTGAGGACTAAGATGGAATGCTTCGATTCCAGTAAAAAGGGTATCCGGTACTTTACACTCACCATACGAAATACGGCAGCATTACGCTGCTATTTTACGTTGGTATTCTGCGAGAGCGTGGTCCTGCCCCGGTCGAGCCGAGCTATTCGTGCTACAACTGTAATATAGCTGCAGCGTGGCTTTACAACGTAAATAAGACTATAATATAATGTTATAAAATGATGGACCTGCCACAATTTCCCAAATCAAGATTTGTATAGAACACCACAAAGCTCCAAGTTTGCTTATACCCTTTGATACATATTTTAAAAAAGTATTAACTTCATTTTTCGGGCTTACGTTTCGGTAAATGAACGTTAACGATACACAATATAAGCCTACCTAAACACACGTGCTCAACTTCAGAACCACATAAAACCTATCAATTTTCATATTTCAGTTTAGTTATTGAACTGTGTAAATCTTTACTGACACGTGCACTGCAATTCTATACCACTCTTAAATCGTTCAACTGTAAATTGTTAATTATAAAACGTTATTTGAATTATGTCACCATTATCTATTGTGTCGACGACAGTACGTCGTGTCGTGTACACTGTACACTGTCGTTGCGGTGTGAGCGTTATATCAACAGTGTCAGGTGTCGCGATGCGGCCACCCAGATAGATTTAATGCGACGTACGGGTCACATACTCGGTTACTTTACTTATTAGGTATTAATAGTCTTTGTGGCTCAGGGGTCGACCAAACCCTTACTTTTCATATTATTCGAGCAATCCCCGAATTCGACAATCGAGAATTTTACAAATTGCAAACTCTTTTATTTACTCAAGCAGATTTTGAGTATTATGGTAAATGGTATCAAAGGTAAATCTCGCTGTTAAAGATAATTATTTTTATATTGTAAAACTTTACAGACAAACCTTTTTTCCTGTTTCATGTTTTATTTTTAAATATGCCATTGTTTGACTACTGTGTAATTGTTGTTTCAAGTTTCCTATTTTTTGTCTCCTTGAACCACAAAGAAGTTTGGAATTTTTTCGCGG